CCTCGGCCTCGCTGATGGCCTTGTTTCCCGCCGTGCTAAACACACGCAGATACCCTGAAGGCAGCGTGATTTGGCCAGTCTCCGTCCCAACACCTGCCGAGTCATTGCAGAAATCCAGCACGAGCTTTTTTTGCCTCGTCCTTTGACGACGGAAGCTTTCATTTTCTGCACCAATACTGTTGCTTTTTATTTCCACCCCAAGAGAAAGCTAATATATATTATTTGAAGTGCTCCTGTGGCTTTGTCCTATGCTAATTATTTATATAGTGCTAGGTCTTGAGGATGCCAGCTGGGAAATGCAGGACAGCAAAAAAAAAAAAAAAAAAAAGGTTTGAGTTTGCCCTAGCTCTATTGAGGTGGTTGGTTTATGGCCCTGATCCTGAAAACACGTTGTTATTGATCATAGGGCCTGGTCCTGCGTCCAGGGGGGACAGCCCACATCATCTTCCAGGGGCGTCACTGAGCAAAAGCGTCAGCCTGCAGCCCTGGTAGCCCCTCGCTGGCTCTGCGGTGTGGCTCTGCCTTTGCTGCAGGACCAGGCCCTTTTGTGTGGGGGTAGCTATCTTGCTGTAAAATCCTAATAGAGGCAAGACTGAATATTTTTAAACAGGTAATCAAGGTCAGTGCCTGTAGTCCTTGCGACTGTGACCTGTTTCTGCTGTATGTTCTGGTGAGAAGGTCGGGCTTGTGGGGAGAGGTGGTAGCTGCTGTTAGACCGAATGAGTAAGCTGGAGGGGGAAAGCGTCCTCTCGGGGTCTGAAGTAGGAGTACAGATCTTTAAATGCAATTGAAGAACAATTGCTTTAAGTGTAGCCATGTTAATAGGTGAGGTGGTCTGAGGAAAAAGGTGGTTGATACCTGTGGAGAAGGGGAGATGTTAACCAAGGAAGAGGTGGTGAAACTGTTAGCTTCTCAGGAACAGGGAGGAGGACTCCATTATCATGCAGGGACCTGCTGGATGAGCTGCAAGGCAAAGTGTAAGGAGGTAGCGCTCTTGGTGAGAAAGTTCACTTTGCAGGTTTTGCCTTCAGTGCAGAGGGCGGCATGCCTGACGTTGAGCCCTGGCTTCCCACTGTTCAACTTTGGCTTGCGCGTGCAGGTTTGGGCATTGTGTTAACCAGGGGAGTTTTTTAAAACGGGGAAGAATTTTGCTAATACTAGTTCAGATCCATCGATAGCAGGAAAACTAATGGTCCGAATGTGGGTTGCCTGCTGTGGCTGCTGTGCAAGCAAGGACGCTCTACTGTCACTAGCTGGAGCGTGATGTCAGGTCTTTTCTGAGTGCATTTCATGCGATAGTGCTTCAAATGGTAGTGGCAGCTGCTACCAGCCTGCATGAGAGCTCTTGATGCTGGTCGTGTCACCTGGGATTTGTTAGAATATTACTAATACCCTGAAGGGAGGTGAAATAGAAAAGGGGAAAGGAGGGGAGACCTGCGGAAGATGAGGATGGAGATTTTTTGTTTTCATTGTATCTGTTTCCTTTTCTGGTTTATTTTTGTGTGTTCTGTTTCAGGTGTATGAATCAGGATTATCAGTAGGAGTTTGTCCTGAGAAAACTCCGGGTGAGGAATGAAGCAACATCCCTTCCTGCTCTGTTGGAGGAAGGGGGGTGGGCAAGAATAACGTTTTCAAAAGATGTCCCGATAAATAAAGTTGAGATAAAATGCAACTCAGGGGTGAAGTTTCCCATGATTCTGTTTCTTGCTTAGGAACTGCTGCCTTAGTGGACTAGGGGAAAGGGCATTTTAAAAGTTAAAAACAGTTAGGGATGAGCCACTTTCATGCATGCTTTGTTGATACCATTATATGTCTGGTGCAGCCTTTGGGTCTGTGCTGGGACTTGCGGAGCCTGAGTGGCCCAGCGTGTATTCTGGCTTCATGTACAGGTCTCATGCAGTCCTTGCTTATTGAATTTTAATCAGAATTTGAAAAATTTTCTTTTACTGAAGTACGGACCTGGAAGGGCATGTGAGAGGTCACCTATTCTTATCTCCTGATTCAAAGGCAGGATTATGGATACTCACGCCCCATCCCAGGCGAATGCTTATCTGATCTGCTCTTCTGAATCACCAGTAACAGAGATTTCACAGTCTCTGTATTTCAGTAGCTGGCAGTCCATGCAGTTGGGAATTTTCTCCTGTCTTTTAAAATTCAAAATCACATCCTATACTGAATTAAAACAAAACAATTATTTATTGTGATTTAAATACCACTCCTTTTAGTATGTCCCCAAATGACATTTGCCTCTTACACAACGGCATTGAGTTGCTGATTGATTCTCAAATTTATCAACTCTGACTTTACTCAAATTATACTCTAAGTTTACCATCTTTCTGAACTGGGTCACTGAAGATTGTAGAAATCTCCTCCTAGCCTGACAAATACAGAGCCTGCTTTGGAGATAAGTTCTAGGAGGCAGATTACTACCGTTCAGCTGAAACATGCATGCAGCACCATCTCACTCCCAAGGTTTAGTAATATAGAGAATTGTAAGTATCAATAAGTAGCGCTGATTCAATAAGTACACACCAGGATCATACAGGTCAGGAAGACTGAGTAAGACGGTAATCACAACTGAATTCTGATGGCATCTCAGACTAATTGAATTTCCCTTTGGGGACTTTCTGTGGCGTACTCCAGCAATTCTGGCAGGAGAGTTCTCTGTTATTGTAGAAAGCCATTACTCATTCATAGAATGAATTGACAACTCCATTAGCAAAAGATAAAGGAAGGAAGAAAGGATGGTCTCGTGGCTGAGAAACTAGCTTGGATCCCAAGAGATCAATATTTAACTCTGCCACAAACTACCTGTGTGATTGTTGCAAGGTAGATAGGGCTTAGTGTAACTGGCCTCTAAAGCCGTGCTTAACTTCAAACACATAACTCATTCCTCTGCCTTCTATGTGGCTTATTTAAGTAGTAGTTGATTTTGTACACCATCTAAAACAACAAGGCTGCAGCCACATACGCAATGTGAGTGAAAATGAATAATGGTCATCTTGCATGCATGATCGACTTCAGGGAGAAGTATATTCTTGCTGATTAAGCTTTTCCTTTATTGTTTTATGAATGCTGTTCATATTTTGTTTGTCTTCCCCTCACCTGCAAATGGACTAATCCTAGCATTTGAGGACTGTTTTCTTAGGCAGGTGGTAAAAGACAAGCACCCAAATAAAATGCAAGTTTCATTTCCCTCTTGGTTACTGGGTCTGTAGATCAAGGGTGATCTTTTCGAAGAAAAAACCTGCATGAGGTAGTCTGTCATTTTTTGGTAATGGAAAGTGAACACCAGAAAGCATGATGCAAATAATTGCTCTTTTTTTCCTGCCTTGTAGTAACCAGTTGTCTTGAGAGCGTTAGAGAAGAAGGGTGCACCACGATGGCTGCTGAGTTGGATTTCTCCCCACCTGAAATCCCTGAGCCCACATTCATGGAGAATGTGCTACGCTACGGACTCTTCTTTGGAGCCATTTTTCAGCTTATCTGTGTGCTAGCCATAATCCTGCCAGTTTCAAAGTCCCATAAGACAGTAAGCAGTGCTCTTTAATATTGATATAGTTGGGCAGAGTCAGAGAAAATAGGATGGGAGGGAGCTTGGAGTAGCTAATGGAGACACAGTGGTCTGCTCCTGGGATTGATGACAGTTCGTTGTTCATTCTCTTTCCATTCCTTCTAGCTTTCCCACCTCCAGCTTTTGTCTTGTGATTTACCCCCAAGCTAGAAAGTTGGGAACAAATACCTGAACCAGGATCTCTCTGAATATCAGTGAAAAAAGTGACCTGAAGCACTGGCAAGGTGTGCTAAATGTGCATGCTGTTCCTGACTGCACACGAAAGGGCTTTAGTTCCAACCCCATATTGTCATCCTACTGCTGATTTGCTCCGTTCGTTGCCAGGCAGGGTGTCCCCTTTGCAGGACCTGCCTTTCAGGGAATGACTTTGGGCTGTAGTTCATGGGTGATTTTTGGAAGGTGAAATTTCTAGTATATTCCAACATGAGAAAGGCAGTTTTCAGTACTGACACCCAATCCTGTGCTGGCAAGTGGAGGGTCCTTTGATGCAGTTAGTACAGGAGAAGGTTAAAGGTTGAGGTGAGCTTCAGGGCTCCAATTCCTCTAGACTGGGCCACGGTGGGATGACCTGCATCCACCTGGCTTTTCTGATAAAAGAGCTCCATGTGCGTGGTAATGCCTGTGGTGCTGGGGACGGATATTTCAGTGTTGGTGATAGGCTGCAAGTCTGGCGGTTTGATACAGATTTTGTCTAAATGTGTGTGGTATATTTTCACTAACAACGCAGCATGGGAAGTTCTGTTTTCAGGTGATCTTTATTGCCACATTTGCTCCCTCTTGTGCAGAGGAAGCATGGCAATTTTCAGCCTATCTGGGGAAGGGAATGCTTGAGGGTGAGGTACAGTTCATGACCCAACTCTTTCACCTTTAACTGTTGGTGTGATGTGAAGCTGCGTTGATGTACTGGATTAGAGACGCTGGCCTGGCATGGGTGCATGCTCCCTCCTGCTAGTCCTGCCGCAGGAGCTGCAGCTCCCAGCAGGGACATGAAGCAGGCGGCTGCTGGTCACAATGCAGTGGCATTGCAAGTCTAGCACCGTTATTCTGCAGCCACCAGCACCTGTCTGTCAGAGTCCATGGTTTCCCCTGATAAATTTTTGAGATATATGGAGTAGCCTGATTCTTGAAAGCTGAAAAGAGTGAGAGCTTTAGTTTGAAGTGGGAAACTGAAGACCAGGCCCCCAATCAAAACGATAAAGCTTCAAGACCTGTTACTGTTTTAAGTTTGCAAGCATGCTTTGATGTTTGCATGCTCTACTTTTTATTTTCTCCATATGTCTACTGTTCTCTTGATTTACTGTCCATATGACTAATTTACAAGACCATAAACACCAGGGGCTACCCCTCCAGATCTTGGGAATGGTGCTTGAGTCTGGGTAGGATGTTGAGGAGCTTCTCTGTCTTGGAGGCTTCACACTTTGAAGTCTACCTTTGAACATTAGAAGGCAGCAGTGTTCACTTTATGGCAGCAGCACACTGCATCCCTGAGTAATAACTGCATGCTACTCCATTTCTCCAGAGCCTGCCAGCTCCCCATGCGCCGATTACAGCCTTTGGAAAGCCAGCCAAGTCTCCTTCCTTGGAAAGCCACACAGATGTGAACTGTAATAGCCCAGTAACTTGAGAGACGTTTGAACCAAACTCCTTGATTAAAAGGATACTGTCAGATGCTCGCCTCCCCCTCCATTATCCGGAGCACTGTCTTGGAAGCTTGAAACTAGCACGTCTTGCTCAGCCATTTTTTGTGTGTCCTTTTCCAGTTGGCACGCTCTAACTGATAGAAACCAAGATGCTAAAGCAATATTTATACTCAAATGCATTTAATGAAAGGAGGCAATCTGCATGTGTGTGCTTTCTCAGATGAGACTGGCGCTGTTCCCTTGTGTTTTTACAAGATAACTAGACTTTATTTCCCATGGCTGAAATACTATCTGTCATCTTCCCTGAAGGAAACAAGCAGCATATCTAAGCATTCCTTGTTAGTCCAGGTGAAGAAAGCTTTGCCTGCAATTCCCTCCCTGGATTTTGGGCTTTGAGCTTTACATTCTTACTACTGTTTTGGGGAATATTTTTTGTCTTGCACATGATAATGATTAACATTTGGCAGAAATACCTGCTGAATGTTTCCACACGCACTGGTTATTATATAGTATTTTCTCCTTTTTCTAATTTGAATAGTTTTCATTTAGTGTTGATTTTTGTCTTGCCTTTAAAGTTGGTTTTGTTTTTCTTCTCCAAAGCCTGTTTTAGACACTTAAGCTTTTAATGGCTTCTCTGGTAACAAGCTGTTTCTGTGCATAAACTCACACTCATCAACAAGCAGATGCGGAAGAAGCAGGGATGGTACTGCTCAAGTCTCATTAAATGTGGACTCAGTTTGATATAGATGTGTTCCAACAGAGATACCCAGCATTTGCTTCCTTTGGCTTATACTCAGATTCCCAAAGTGAGCTGTCAGCAAATTGTAAAAAAAAGTTACTGACTGTTTCTTAATTGATTCTTGTAGGACTCGGACAGTTTTGAGCCTAAGAATTCAGAGACAGTGAAGAAGCCAAAGGCAACTGCTCCACAGATAAGCAAGAAACCCAAGAAGGAAACCAAAAAGAAACGATAAAGCTGTGACTGATGAGCCTCAAAAGACAAAATAATCAGCTATAATCATGCTTCCTCGGAGATGACATCAAAGGCAACAAACTATATTAAATGGTTTTCTGGCATTGCCATGCTTTACCTTTCAGGGACAAGGAACTTAAAAGAGTGGAAGGGGCAGAGTTCTGCCATAGATTTCTTACAAGCAAAGAGGACTTCACATATCCAGGATTTCATTTGACATGATTAATGTGTCAGTCACCATCGAAGTGACTTCTGTCATTTCCAATAGGTAGAGAGGGCTGTTGTCCTGGCTCCTCCACGCTGGCTAGGATTTGTAGTAAAGTCCCTGTGGAAGGTGGAGCATGGGTTTGCTACTTTGGATACCGGTTTGTGTTGTATTTTTTGAAGCAGAGGGATCAGATGGATCAAGGATACCACACTACACAGCTTTGTATTCATCTCTGTTGTCGTCTAGTCTGAAATACATAGCTGCATTTTATGGCTTAATAATAATGTCTTTGTCATATGCTTTAATTCCTTAGGTAATAACTCTCAGATTCCAGACTGCTGTAGATGAAAGCTTTCATTTCCCCAGCGTCGCTACCTTTCTTATTCCCCCACCCATGCGCTTTTCCTTTCTGTTCCCACCCTTGAAAGCAGAGAATGGAGGCTGCGGTGGGGACTGCAGTGACTACAAGGATCAGGGAACAATTTGATTCTGGAAAGAGCAGAATTTAATGCCTGTGCTAATGGGCTATTGTTGGAAACTTGGGAAGACCAGGTACTGCATGTTGGAGAAAAGCTGCTCTGAGGCGGGAGTCTTGGAGTGCTGCATTGGTCATGTATCAAAGCGCACTGCCTAGCTGTGCTGCTGATAAACCCTCCTGTCAGCTGGTTGAGTCCTAACCCTGTGCTCCGTTTCAACACTGCTGGGGTTTGTTGCATTTGCAAACTCCCTCCCAGCCTTACCTACTATAGTCTGCTGCAAAAAATGCTGAATTCTTCCTGAAGTTAAATATGATCTCAGCCCGAGGAGATGTGGTATTTTAAGATCCAAGGGGTGGCAAGCTGGCTGTGTAGCATGACTATATGGCAAGAGGCATATACACTATCTTCCTTCAGGCTCTGGGTCTCCAGGCCCAGGGACAATCTACTATTAGATTTAAATATGGCTAGACAGGACTGGAAAGAGATAGGTGGTGACGTAGCCACAGAGTAGGGTAGCTCAAGCTTCCTGATGCCAGCTCACATCTTGGTTTGTTTGATCACGAATGAGTCAATGGGAGGAGAACCTGCTCTTTTAGGCGCACCCAGGGTTCAGAGCAGCTTTGAAGGAAAGGGTTCTCTGGCAGGGCTGCAAGTTTGCGATCCTTTTTGCATACAAAGACTCCCATCCTCGATTCACAAATGCCTTGTGAGCCCAGATACAGTAGCAGCGTTGTGCTGTGTGTTCTCCAACAGGAGCTGAGCAGCACATTTGCAGGAACCGTCAGTGCTGAGAACGGCCATGTTCTCTGTTTGCTCTTGCTTTCGGTGGGTGAGACGGATGGATTCCAGTACCAGTTTGATTCTAACCTCTCACTGCTTCCCTGCTCCAGGCTCTCTGCTTCACTTAACCAGAATGCTGACACCAAGTTGTTCTGCTTAAAATCCAGCCTAGAGTTCTGCTTTAAATTCAGTGTTCTCTTTTTCTTCTTTTTTTTTGAGCTACATAAAGGCAATACTAGAAGGACAGACCAAAGCATGGGAGGCACAAGCACTCTAAAGTTGCTTTGAGTTCTCAGTACAAAGAAACATTACAAAAATTTCCCACGCAAATAACAAATAACAATATTGTGCTGTGAGTTTCCATTATGGACCTGTGTTCCTGTCTGTGATCTGCAGGGGAAAGAAAAGCATTGCCACTGCCCTGGATAGGTACTGCAGATCTCTTCTTCCAATTTAATAAATGAGGATGGTGGTGGTTTTATCTAACAACTCTGGCTTTCTGCAGGTTACCTAAAGGGGGGGTTCAATTCTTCAATGGAATTGCAACTATTGAAAGAGTAGCGCATGTTACCTGAAATATAGAAGTGCTTCTACAGCCAGGAACCAGTTAGCGATGAGCACTGTGTGTTACCTGAAATAGCAGGCTACTACATCTGCTTCTACATCTAGCTGTTGCGGGCTGGCTTACTCATTGCTAAGTAGAAATCATGGATATTGGGGTTTGGTTCTGTTGGGGGGAAGAGGGATTAAGATAAATTCCCCAGTCTGTTCCTAACAGCTTGTTACCTATTTGAATGCTCACTAGCTGAACTTACAGTATGTTTTTAGAGATTACCAATATCCCATGTATTTTAGTATCTCTTGAAATGTGTAATAAATTACAATCAGAATCTCTTTGTTTAACAAGAAACCTCTTTTTAAAGTCGTGCTGCCTTTTTCCATACATTCATTGTGAAAGCTGCCAGAACTCTCAGACAATAGGTACACAGGGACATAAATAACCTATTCATAAAAATGATCCATTAAGGGAAAGCCTTTCAGATCCTTTAATCTGTGAGAAATTGGGTAGTTAATACTGTCAGGTGTGTGTGTATCTGTGTTTGACTTGGAAGTAGCAAACTATCTCCCAGAACAGCTTCAGCTTCCTGGAAGGAAGGAGGAAATGGAAGGGAAATTACTAAATTAATTTGCCTCTCATGAGAGATTTTGGCTCCAATAGCCCCCATGAAGGTAGCGATCACAAAGGCATCATTTGTTAATAATACAAGCAGGGGATTAGATGGGGATCCAGTAGAGTGATGGTAGGGATTTTCAGTAGCACCTCGGTGCGTGGTTGTAGCTCAGGTTTACGTGGCTGGAGCGTGGAGCTGTCTGGTGGCTCTTCTTGGCTGTGGTAAGACCGGCGTGGTAGCCCAGCTCTGGCAAGCGTCTGTGGGTTCCCTCACCAGAAAACAAAACCTAGAGAACAACTAGTGTGGTGACTCCTATAATTCCCAAGCACTTTTCTCCAGGCTGTTTTGTAATTACCATCCCAAAGGGAGCTGAAGACCTCATTAAGTCACTTTTATTGAAGGGTAGATTTTCAAAGGTCTGCCTCCAGATACCACCCAATAGGCAGCACCTCGGTGAGCAGCACCTCCTGCCACCCAAAGCCCAGGGAGCTGGGCTGAGAGCTGGGCTTCCTCCACTAATCTATGTTAGGAAGGTCCTTTCCCTCACAGGCCAAGCCTCAGCTCTGAAGAAACGTGGCTGGGACTTGAGAATTCCTTGCTTCCTTTTGATCGTGTCCAAGCAGCTCTGCCTCTCTGGCCACGCTCGTCTGGAGAGCTGCGGCCATCGCCGTCCCCCTGAGCTGTCCCATGCTCACAATGCATCCTTGTGCTCTGCCACTGCAAGCAGCACAATCCCTTGAGACGGGCTAATAAGTAGCTCGTGACTGGAGTTCCAGTTCACATAGTTCAATTAAATCCCTGTTAATCTCGTTCAGACCTGATTTACTTTCATTCTCATACACACGCTTCTCTCTGCTTCAGAGAGATTCTGGTGAGGTTCCCTACTGACAGGAACTGAAGAGCCCAAGGCCATCTATGAAGAGGACTGATGTTTGTAGAGCAGCCCCTTGTCAAGTCAATAAGCTAAGATTATTTCCCGGCCTGTCACGAAGAACGTGAAAATATTCCTTCAGTGCCTGAATTTCAGGGAGGGTCAAGGCTGGATCTGATAATGCTTGAGGAGAAAATAAGGAAGCTGTAGGAGGAGAGGACCTGCTCAGTGTCTCTGTTTCCCAGGGCACTGCTGAACTGTTCCCCTGGGTGCGTGTGTTAATTTTTGGACAGCTGAGAGCTGAGGCACTGGGCTTCTCTCCGGGGAGCCTCCCTTACACGCTGATACTGCTTTCAGGCAGAAGTTACATTGTTCACAGCCTGTGGCCTGCAGGGATCGAGATGACTGTATTGATTTAGTTGTTTGTTTATTAATCTCATGAGGCATCAGAGACTGACTGCAGCGAGAAAATGGGATGATGAAGTGAGACTGCTGGAGTACAGAGTGCGGCTGCTTCTTTGGTGATGAGGCTGATCGCCAGCTTTGGCGCTGGGAAGGGGTCTGATTCTTCCTCATCCAAACAGAGGGGATGATTCAGTCGGGGAGCATTCCCTTTGTCTCTGGCAAGAGCCATGGACTGTAGTCGATGTTTGCATTTCTTCTTAAATTGGCAGTTACTGCTGGTCCAAGGTCCTGCTCTTCTCCTCTGGTACTTTGTGGCTTCTGAGCAGTTGTCTGTGGGGATTTTCTCTGTCTTTTGGTACCTGGGCCAGTGTGCAGTAGCTGGTCTAAATGTCTAAATGTTGCAGGGCAATGAACTCGGCTTCCTGCCTCTCCCTTGAAATTCAGCTGATTTTCCCCTTTTGCGTTGATTCTTCCCAATTTGTGCCTTTTCTGTCGCCATAGTTCACCCCTGTGCCCCCTCTTGTTGCTTCCACCCTGTGGACTCATGTTCATTGCAATTCTGTCCTCGCAGCCAAGTTTTACCTGCCAGTGACAGACAGTGGGTATCACCTGCTGTTACAAGGACTGAAACAAAGAAAGAACATGTGGAGAAGCATCCAGGATGGAGAAGGTGTCCCCTTGTAATCAGCCCTGTCAGCATGATTCTCTTCCCCGATGACTTTTTCAACCGGCAGATGTAACTGCTGGGGAAGGATCTCTCCGCCTTGGGAGCCCCAGGTATACCCGGGAACCTGTGCCATGCACATCAGCCTGCCCCTGCGCCACGAGGAGTTAAAATGATTAAATATTACACTTCCAAGCTCCTGCGATAAGTGAGCGCTACGGTGCTGTGCGTGCTTCACGCCACCCCTTCAGATCCTGCTCCTCTCGCGGATTTGTCTTGTGCAATCCCCAACCTCTCGCAATGCTTGCTTCCCTCCTCCCAGCTCCCCTGGTTTCATTTAGTGCCCGGAGGCCCTGGTGTGGCTTTGATGCTCCTTGCACCCTGCTTGCTGGAGGCGTGAGCAGCCACGCACCGGGAAACCGCAGTCTCACCGAGGACCGCAGCGACGCAGAGCGGGTGGTTGGAGCAGAGAGGCTGGCAGGTTCCTCCGTGGCTCAAGCCCAGTCTTTTTGGCTGGTAGGTACAAGATAAAACCTGCTTCGGATCACATCTGCTTTGCTTTTTAAAAACATCTGCTGATGTGCCTTGTCGCACTTGAAGAGTTCAGCTCCCAAACGGGGGATGTTGTGGGTGGAGGGCGTTGAAGGGCTCTTACTTCTTCCTTCCTATCTTCAGTTCCAGACAAGGAGCTGTGTCCTTAGTACCACACTCTGCTGGAGGTCCTATCTGCATGCTAAATGGACATTCCTTACTTGTGAAACCTGCACTCCGGGCTGTCCCCTTGTTTCTTGCCAGAAGGCTGTCCGAGCCTCTGGGGTGCCAGCCCTGTAAGTGTCAAGTTCATCCAGTCCCAGTTCATGGACTGGCGCCATGGAAGGCATCAGCACTGGCCTGAGACGTCTCATATTTTGCCCAAGCTGAGGCTACAGCCTAGGTGTCCCTGGCTCCAAGGCGAGTTCCTGCTGCCTCCCCTTTGGCTGCTGCTTCTGCAAAAGCCATCCCAAGCCTGCAAATTCACCTCGCCAAAAGCCAAAGTCCAGAGTATGACAGGCACTGGCGAGCTCTCGCAGGGCAAAGCCGCTCCCTCTGCTCAGGGAACCGGCTCCCGACGCGTCCTGCTCCTCTTTGTGCC